GCTGGGGGCTGACCTGCTGGAAAGCAGCTCTGCAGAGAAGGACCTGGGAGTCCTGGTGGACAACAAGTTGACCATGAGCCAGCAATGTGCCCTTGGGGCCAAGAAGGCCAAGGGTATCCTGGGGGTGCATTAGGCAGAGTGTTGCCAGCAGGTGGAGGGAGGTGATCCTGCCCCTCTACTCAGCCCTGGGGAGGCCCCACCTGGAGTCCTGTGTCCAGTGCTGGGCTCCCCAGTACAAGAGAGACATGGCACTACTGGAGAGAGTCCAGTGGAGGGCTACAAAGATGCTGAGGGGACTGGAGCATCTCTCCTATGAAGAAAGGCTGAGAGAGCTGGAACTGCTCAGCCTGGGGAAGAGAAGACTGAGGGGGGATCTGATCAATGTGTACAAGTATCTGAAGGGAGGGTGTCAAGAGGATGGGGCCAGGCTCTTCTCAGTGGTGCCCAGGGACAGGACAAGAGGCAACGGGCACAAACTGAAACACAGGCAGTTCCATCTGAACACGAGGAGAAACTTCTTTCCTGTGAGGGTGACGGAGCCCTGGCACAGGTTGCCCAGAGAGGTAGTGGAGTCTCCTTCCCTGGAGATATTCAAAACCTGCCTGGATGTGATCCTGGGCAATATGCTCTAGAGGACCCTGCTTGAGCAGGGAGGTTGGACTGGATGATCTCCAGAGGTCCCTTCCAACCTCAACCATTCTGTGATTCTGCGATCATGCGTCTCTACTGCTTTGCCAGGAAAGATTTGTATATCGTGCTTCTGCTGATCTGCCTCTGGGTCAGTTTTTGAGAAACATACTGGCTCACTGTTTAGCAGCCTGCTGTCAGAAGTGATCTGAGATTTATTTCTGCTCTCAGCTAGATCTATATCATTGTGCCTTTCTTCAGGAGTATTATCCAAAGAGAAATCTGCAGAACTGTTGGTCTGATGTACGCTATTATGCTGTGAAGAGTTACTTGTACTCCAGTAGATACTTTTGGAAGAGAAGTATTTTGCTTACTGGTAGCTTCTACAGGTTTATCTCTGTTTCTTATCATTTGTTTCATAAGTGCCATTTGAAGATGAATTGCATGAGCTTCTAGACATATGTGCAAGTCTCTCAGTAACTAAACCTATGTTTCTGTTCCTGACCACTGGTGGCACTTCTTCCAGAAGCAAATCACCTTCCAAAGGAAAGTCATTTAAAAAGTCATCAGCATATTCCACGGGATGTGAAATTTGGTCATCTGAATGAGGAAAAGGACTTTCAAATTCTTGTTGCAAAACACTTCCACTAAGTGAACCTGAGATTGTGCTAAAATTATTGCTTCTACTGCAATACCCACTCTCTAAAAGTGTTTCATCATTTAAAGTGAATTCATCATTTTCCTCAAGACTGGCTAAAAGCTCTTCATCTGAAGGGCCTAGAGTTTGCCCTAATTCATCTACAGGCCTTGGAACAATTTGTTCATGATCAGTTCGTCCAACAGGATTAGGGTTCTCAGCTTCTCCAATTAATCTAGCAAGGACTCTTTCCTGAGTATGCTCCTCTAGAAGAGCATCCACTTCACTCCCCAACAATTTTACATTTTCTGGTTTAAGCAAAAGGACTCCAAGATGATATGCAATATCACCCTGTACAGTGATTTTTTTGTTCCTGGAGGAAGATTACTATGGAGGACAGGGACTGGTTGATATTCCATGCCCTGAATTTGATGTACCCCATCAGGTAGTTGCAGCATCAGCATTCGAGTAGGCTTTGCTTCCCAGGGCTTTTAGAATGCCTGAGTGTTGGCTGTTACTTTTTCATTTACAATACTTTTTCCTCTTAGCTTCTACAACTGGGAATATACTGGTTGGCTAACATCAACTAGAGAATCAATCTGTATTGAGTAGAAGCTAGACAATTCTCCTTTGGAGGCATCCAAGATGCAATCAGGCAAAATGGAATATTCCAAATCTCTTAGATCTATAAGAAGCCATTGCTCAAATATCTGTCTGTTAATCTGAGCTTGACTTAAGTTACTACTGCTTTTTTCTTCCTGGATCCAATTAATACATGCTTCCAGCCATGTCAAAGGAACTCTAACGTGACATGTGGATGAAAGCCAAGTTTCCACTCTTGCTGCAATGTTAGATGTAGACATTTTCTTTTAAGATAAAAGAAAAAAGTGAATTCCCTAGAAGAAAACCCAAAAAGACATATTTACTCTTCTGACAATTGCTGAAGTTACATGCATCTCACTGGCGTTATACAGAAATTTGCCATCAATTCAGTTCCATCATTCTAAGTGTGACAATGTAGAAGCAATTCCGTAGAACTGGAATGCTAAAAATAAACATACATTTCCAACATTTAAACAAGTAAACTCTGATCAGCATAAACAGCCTATGTAGTTTTCTCATCGTGGAGTATCAGGGAAGTACTGACACTTCTACAAGCAGCCCTTCTTGGTGGCTTCATCTTTTCTGTTGATTTGATTGGAAGTATATAAGGGAAATCATGTTGCTGTGGTTGGAAAGAGAGGGGATGAAAAAACCCCACAACATTTCTCCTCTTGACAGGTTTTTTTTGTTCCTGTGAGTGCTGCTGTTAACAGTAACTCTACTTTAGAAATTGATCTTATAAGTCATTGCCCTATCTCATTAGCACTGCTATGAATAAAGTGGGAGGCTTCATTTACAATACAAACAAGTGGGGATCTGTAAGCATTAGTACTACAGAGGTAATTTTTACACCTTAACTGGATGAAAGCTTTGGGACTGAAAAGAGAAGGCTAGCCTGAAATATCAGTGTTATCTGGAGACCAAATCCAGCCTTTGACTGCAGTACTATGAAATTTTGGCAGTAATTGTCTCAGGAACATCAGTGGTTAATAAACTCTGGCCTGTTGTTAGCTTTTGAAGTGACTAAGCACATTTAAGGTGTATAACTGTGCTTGGAACCTGTTTATCACCCTTAAGATGAAGGGCCAAAAAACCTCAAGGAGCACGATTTCTACACAGAACTACATCAAAAAATACTATAAGAATACTTAAGAAACACAAGGCTTGCCTTCTGCCATTAAAACCTGCAGCTAGGAAAAAAACAGTCTCCTTTAAGTTCTCCCAAATGCTCCTCCAGTTTAATAACAAAGATGAATGGCCAAAAAACCTCAAGGAGCACGATTTCTACACAGAACTACATCAAAAAATACTATAAGAATACTTAAGAAACACAAGGCTTGCCTTCTGCCATTAAAACCTGCAGCTAGGAAAAAAACAGTCTCCTTTAAGTTCTCCCAAATGCTCCTCCAGTTTAAAAAAAAAAAAAAAAAGTAACTGCACAATTTATTCCAGGTGAAATAACACGTTTACTCATCAATAGGTCTAAACCCGTGGGCCTCTTGTTAAGTAAGAGGCAGCATATTCCGCCTTTCCTGATGCAGTTTCCCATCGGGGGCGCTGGGTGCGCAGGCAGCCGCCCCTCGCGTGGCGCGGCCACCCCTTGCTGTGGGATACCC